CTCTCCTCCATGTCGTGCTGTGATCAGAGTGATTTCATACCATTTTTTATCATTTGAATTTAGTAAATTTCCACTTACAATTTAATGTGTTGCTCAGCTGCAGTTTCAAAATGAAGTTCTGTAATTCAAGGGTTATTAAGCAGTTCGTGTTTAATAATTAACACCTGTCCGGGTGGTTGATTCACTCTAATGCGTTTTAATCATCAGCTGTTTTACCGCTTAACATAACATTTACTTTTACTCTTGCTATAAAGTTCACTAACCAGTCTGGTTAATGCGTTTCTTATGGACTTTAGTGGTGTGGCTTGTGTTGAGGAACATAGATGATGATAATTTTACAAAAGCAAGCCATCTGGATTTGGTAAAACGATGTTTCGTAGTAGCAAAGAATGGAAATCTAAAGATCTCCAAAGAATAAGGTACTTATACCCTTGCAAATTGTCCCTACATTCAGCCTTAGTTCTTGTATCTCACTTGCATCTAATTTTTGTTATTTCAGCTTTTTAATCTTGTCGCAGTAAGCGAGAAATGTTGTTTTCCCAATTACTTATTTTTGGAAATGAGGTTTATGGTTAAATCTATAAATATTTCCTCATGTGTGACGACATTGCAATGACTCAAATAATCTTGTGACTGGGCAAAAAAAAATCCTAAAATGTAAATTGTTTCCAATTTTTCTCTGATAAATTCCAGGAATAAAATATTGATGTTCAGTGAAAAGACCCGAGCATTCTAATGTACTTGAATTTCCAAGATCAGTTGATGTTTCTGAGTCCAATAACATTTCTGCTAATACTGTACTATTTCTTACAGTAAATGTGTATATTTTTAGTGATGTTGACATGAATGCCTTTGAAATTTAAAGAAGTTCCTAAAGTAATTATACAGATTTGTAGGCAGTATGGCACTAGATTTTGACAATCTTTTGATAATATTGGACAGTGTACTTGAGGGAATTTTTAGCAGAGGTTACCTCAGAAATACAGACTCTCTTCCTCTCTCTTTTCTCTCTCAAGCAATGATCCTAAGCATTGATTTGCTCTAATTTTAACATCTAATTTTAAGGTTTAAATATAAGAATGCTTGATGTGCTTTCTTCTTTAAAATTTTATGATTTTCGTTTGTAAAATCGCTTTCTTTCCCTCTGTGTAACATTCCAGAGCCATCACTGGATTAGATGCTTTCTGGATGAGTGTCATCATGCATTTCTTAACAGCTGGTTAAAAAATCATTGACAAATTCTAAGATGCGGGTTGCCTGTCTCTGCTTGAGTCCTTAATTATTTATGTATTAATAGACGTGACCAATATGGACTTCACTGAATTCATTAGAACTGTGGCTATTTTACTATTGTCATTTGATTGCTAGGTGCATTGTAGCACAATCTGACCATGCAGTGTTTTCTGACAAAAGTTTACACAATTAGATTTAATAATTGTTAAAAAATCATTGTTACCTCAGTTCATAAAAACTTAATTCCAAAAACATTGTTCCCTAAGCACGAATCTGGCTCCAACAATACCTACAAGTTTTAAAATTCAATTTGGAAAAGAATCATTGAAATTGACAGTGCAGGAGGAGACCATTCAGCCCATCGAGCCTGCACCAGCTCTCAGAGCAAAGCTGTCCATTCAATCCTGCTAACCTGTCCTACTCCATACCCTTTCAAGCCTTTATCTTTCATGTACTTGTCTACTTGCCTCTTGAACCCACAACAGACTGTGCTTCTATCACCTTATATCCCAGGGAAGGCAACTAAATGAATAGGACTTTCAGACACGATGGCCTCCTTCTGTGCTGTAAGATTCTATGAGCTGTACCAGATGTCATACGTGAATTGTTTGAAGCTAAAACTTGTATTTTAATCCCAGTTTCTGCTAAAATTGTAACTATAATTTGTAGCAACAGATGTTGTTAGAATCACAGCAACATTATATTGCTAATTGCACTATTATGTTGTGTATGAATATTGCACGACATTTTAGCGGGGCAACAATGCCACTTTAAGCCAGATTCCTCCAAGCCATTGAATAATTTGGTTTTAAATGCCTTCAGGGCACGCGAAATACTACTGTGGCATTGCTGCCAGAAGTTGAGAAGGTGGCGGTCTCTGTGCTGTATTATCATGGTACGCAGCAAGTCTCCGGTGTAAAGGTTCAGATTAAAAACTGAGCAGATAACATGCCCGCAAATAAACCTTTTAAAGTAGACTTAATTATTTGTTAGCAAGTTGGGTTATGCAAACCTAATTGACTCATTCTAAATCTCATACTAAAACTGTACTGATAAGATAAATGGAATGACACTGCCAAATGAACTGAAATCATTTGTTATTAGTGTCAAGGACTGTGTTTCTACTTATTCACTTGTGATCCATATTGAATGAAACTCACTAAAGCATTTCTTTGCTGTGTAACTGTTGCAGTCTATCAGAGTTACGACCAGATTTACAGAGAAATGTAATTAATAAATGTTGTATCTTTCAATTTTTGAGGTTTTGTTTATCTCCGAGTCTGACCAAACAATAAGAATTTCACAGATCCATCTTTCAAACTAAAGCAAAACCTCGCATTATCATCCTGTTTGTTGAAACTTTCCTCTTGGAAGGGATATGCAGTTGCATATGGGCATATATCTGATTGTTTCCCAATGTAATTCAGATAATATGTTTCAAAATGTGACCCCAAAATGAAGTGATTCATAAGCACTCATATACACCCAGGCAAACTCACCATGTTATTCTTGCCATATTATTGTAGATCAATTTCACTCATGCCAACTTCAGTTGAAAGACAAATGGATCAGGATTTGGCAATATTGCCCTCCCCACCACTTCATCCATTAATAATAATTTGCAATTTGGGGATTTTCAGTTGTTGATTTAATCTCTGAAATACCGATTAAGATTCATATTTTGGATGAAGCAATATTGCCCCCCAAATTTAATTTAATTTAAGAGCCACAGTAATTTTCAAGGGATCTGATCTTCTCAATGAGGATAATGACTAGGATTTTGCCTTTTCAACTCAGTTTTAGTTTTCTGTAACAATTGCATTAATCAAATAAATTAATTTCAAGATCAAAATTAATTAAACCCCATAAGTATTCAATATCAGCAGGCCTGTAGAAAATTAAATTTTGCCATCCTTTCAAGTTCTGTATCTCAAGATGGGCAGAGCTTCTACATACCCAATTTATTCCATGTCATTACAAATTTGTTGTTCATATCTTTGGAATAGCCTACTGCAGATTTTGTGTTATCTGCATAGAGATATATTTTTGTGTTCAGTTGCTCTGGCATCTTTATTTCTTCATGTTCACATAAGCCGGACTGAGAGACTCCATGGCAACGTTAAAGTATGGTGAAGATAATGGATATCCCTGTTGAGTTCCTGCTCAAATGGAATTATACTTGATAAAAATCCATTAGTGACTACTGAGGCTTGAAGCGCCTCATTTAGTACATGTATTCTTTGCCAATTGCTCTCCGCTTTTTCTATATGAAGTCTTCCTTATGGTGGATTACACAGGTGTCAGCAGCTCACCTGGACCCTGCCCAAGTGATTCTTCATGTGTGAGGCTGGGATAGTGAGTGCCAACAGACTGTTTAAACGCAGAACGTGTCTTAGCTGAATCTGATCCTGTCTCCCTTGATGTTCTCACACTTTCCAACAGGTGATCATTGTATAGTGATAAGAAGGAAGAACCCTGCCTGATTGTTTTTTTTATTCCTCTGCCTACCTAGCCAGGTTAGGTGATTTGTAGTGTTTCAACTGTTACCTTGAGATCAACTAGCTCAGCATAGAATCCAACTTGTGGTTTTCTGCTGTGTAAGTCTCAATGCTGTAATGAATAGTGCCTTTTCCCACAGGTCATCAGGGGAGTTGTTAGATACATGTTTCTTAAAAAGAACCTGTGATATATGCTATTCATCTCTATGAAATGTCTTCCCATGAAAAGGTTTCTCTCTTTCGTTCTGTCAGATTATAGGCACATATCCAGATGGAATTTGTCTATCACTACATTGAGGGTAAAGCGGTCCATAGTTTGGAAGAAGCTTTAGATCTGACACAAGGAAGAACAAATATTTGTTTTTCTTATTCGTCTGTTTATGGGTTGGGTTCTGTCAAGTAGAATTGTTTAGAGAATTCCTGAAAATTGTCTTCAGTTCGACTTAAAGGTGATAGTCTATAATTTGGCAGTTTCCCTCCTGTTAGCAGTTTGGCTCACATTGCCCTGGTTACAGTTTACCTACTTTTTTCTCTTATGAAAAGTATTTTCCTGATGCTTCCATTTTTTTATTCTGTATGAACTTCTTAATTTATTATATTAATGAGATCTGTTAGAAAGCCAGGTGCATGTGCTCTTTATTCATAATCTAATTGCAAGTTTAATAATCTTCACAATTGACATGTGGGGCACAAGTGCTTTATAACTGCCCTCTAAACCCTAATATACAGTCTCAAAATGACTTCAGTTGTTTTTGTTAACAGTAAGGTTGATGAGATTGTTCTATTAGCATTGGTTTTAGCAGCAGCTGTTAGTACAGATGTTGCCAGCCAGGCTCTATCATTGATGCATGAATGACGTTCACACTGTAGGATTAAAATTGCAATATCATTAGTGCTGCTGTTGTTAATTGCCATAACATTTTCCAACGTACATTTGCAGGTCAACTGGAAACTGATACAAGGGTATCTAACGGGTTAACAGATTTTTTTTTGCAAGGTGGTTAATAAGCTTATTAATACTGCTCAGAAGTCTGCAAGATGTTTTCTTATCTCTTATTGATTGAGCTGGTCATTTACATTCCAGTCTTGGTTGGGGCAGCTCCGCTAATTGATGAATGTTTGTGTGCGCGTGTGTGTGCCTACATTGAAAGTGTTGGGTTTATATTGTGTTGGTATGTGGGACAGAAGCTGATATCTAGCCAACTTAATACTGATGGGTATTGTAAAGGTGGTAAACTAGTTTCACACCACATAATTTTCTTTCACTAGAAGCAGTATGAAATCCAGGGAACAGGAGGTGAGTTTTCCTGCCAATTTTTTACCTTTGTATCTGGAGTGTTAGTGGTACTTATTTTGCACTAGAGGTCTGGTTCTGCAATAAAGCCTATTTGTGCATTGGCACAAACTAAGTAACAAAAGCAAACAGAACAAATCTATTTCAGTCTCAGCATACCTCAATTCAAAAGTAATGTCTGTACTAGACTGGATGTGTTTGGAATTGTTGCAAGGATATCTAGTTTATAAGACATTGAAGGAATAGGAAAATAAGTCAGGGAGCTAGTCACGGCAAAAGTATGGCAAAAAATGGCAAAAAGAGGCAAAAATAGGCATAGCTTCCTACAGGTTTGTTACTCCATAGGGTCAGTGTGGCTTAATCCTAAACCATAAGAATGAAGCTGAAAAGGTTTAACTCCAACTAATGATTTAATGGGTTGTATCACTGGAGTGCTATCTTTCGGATGAGATATTAAAACCGAGGACCCATCTGCTTGTTCAGATGGACGTTGAAAGATCCCATGACGCTACCTGAAAAGAGAAGCGAGGTATCCAATTCAACAATCCTTCAGTTAAATTGACTTCATGGCTGTTTGAAATATCTTTCTCTGACAAAATTTGCTGCTGTGTTTGCCAACAAATTAACCATCACTACACTTAACAGAATTACCTGTGAAGTATTTTGAGACATTTTGATGTTCTTTAATAAACATGATATGAAATGCAAAATTATTTATTATTTATCTACAGTTCAATTATAGGGTGTCTCAGGATCTCAATAAAATGCCTTCACAGCGTGCTTCTGTCAGCCAGACCGCTGAGTGCAAAGTCCCTCACACAAGGATTGGCGATGAATCAGCTATTCGGGTATGTCAGCATTTTTAAAACTTGCACCTATGATACTCACTTTTTGTTCAAAATTTGGATGTGCTGTCCTTGGTCTTTCTCATTGTCATTGTTTAATATGGTACATTACATTTTTTTTAATACACATAGGATATACCTTGAAAAATATTTTTACATTTTCTATCCAACAAGGATATGCTTCAATTATTTTATCGAGTCAAATAAGTGTCTAAAATCAAAAGTACTTTAACACAAGTGCAGAAGTTATTACTGCTCAGAAGTGACCTCAGCTAAACGTCAGGATGAGATTCACGAACAAACCATTTGCCTAACTTCAATTCTGAAACAATTCATCACTGATTTGAAACCTCATTCAAGTGGATGAACAATAATCATTTTCTTAGTGTTGCAGACGTGTCAAGATTGCTAATGTCATGTCTTAAAAATTTTAATTATTTTTTCTTTATTAGGGTATCTACAAATTTGGCCACAAGTTAGGACAAGGCAGTTATGGCATAGTGATTGAGGCGACGCATCTTGAGACTGGTAAAAAATGGGCAATCAAGAAAGTGAACCGTGAAAAGGTGAATTATTCTGCTGATTTGTTTGTTTAGTTTGATGTAATACCTTGGTGTTTGTATTTATGTGGGGAACGGAGAAAAACATTTTCTTTCATTTAAAAATAAGTTTAAAAAATTGAGCTACTTAAATGGAATCTATTGTATTTGTAGGGAAAATGATCACTGGCCATAATATGGATCCTCATTTAAGTAAGCCCTAGCAAGTACCAAAAAAAAGGAGCTTGCATATGCAAGATTCTCCATACAGAAATGGAGCTATGAAATGTATTATCATTTGGAGAGGGTGTGCAATGTTTTGAGTTTTACTGTTGTTTCCAATGCAGGCTGGGAGTTCAGGTGTGATGCTACTTGAACGGGAGGTCAGCATCTTAAAGAGAGTCAACCACGAGTATATCATTCATCTGGAAGAGGTCTATGAAACTCCTAAAGTAAGGATAGCTCAAAACTCAGGACTTCAAGCTTTTGATTTCATTCTGATATCAGACATGTTTCATTTAGCCAGCATTTTTAGCCACTTACATACAGCAACAGCCTTTTACTTTTTTCCGCCACAGCCAGTAACTTGTTAACTAAGGTGCCCATAACCTCGCATACCTATCAGCTAGCTATACCATTTCAATAATTAAAGTATTAATAGATGCCACAATTTCTATTATTTTTCAGTTAGTTATTTGTAGGACAAAACTATATATATATAGTTCCAAGAATAAGTTGCCTCTATAACACACAGCTCACTGGAAAGTGCTGTTTGTATTCTCAAAGGCAGCATTATAGAACTTGCAGACACATCCAGGTTTAACATCACGCTCCTTTCTGGGGTTTGTTGAGAGATGTTCCCTCAACATCCAGCTACATTTTAGCTGCCTCTGATTTAACTTGCTTTTCGGTTTCTTTGGACTTTTTTTCCCCCTTTAAAGTCGAACTCTGTTCCAGTGTGTATTTATGCCTACATAATTTCCTTAGCCTTCACCAATAAATACATTTGCCTGAGCTATGTAGGATCAAAGGATTCTTTTTTATAACATCTGTGGTGCAGATCATTGGTAGCAATGGTATAAAAGTGTTTACAGACAGTTCATGGTTTTTTTAAATAATATTGTGTGTGTGCATTAGGGGATATGGGAATAGGGCAGGTAATTAGAGTTAGGTCAGAAGATCAGCCATGATCTTACTGAATGGCGGGGCAGGCTCGAGGGGCCGAATGGCCTACTCCTGCTCCTAATTCTTATGTTCTTATATATAAATATGAATAATTAACAACAACAACTTGCATTTATTATAACGTCCTTCACGCAGGGTAGCATCATAATTAATATGAAACCACAGATGAGATTGATGATAAATAGCACAATTGGATCAAGCGTCTTTCCTGTTTATTATTTACCTGCTGTTATTGTTCCTTTAAGAGTGTTGAAAAATATCCAAATATTTTGAGGAAGCAGTTCTCTAGTCAGATGCCTCAATATGAGGCACCCTGCTGCTGTGTGCCTGAAACTCAGGAGGTTTTGGGAAGATTTATAGACTGCTTGATCATTATGTCTTGCCAATGTGTTCTGCTGTCCATGGTTGATTACCTTATAATTTGCAAGTGCAGACCAGTTTAAACCTGCTAATAGCATTCAGTGCTGGCTCAATGCTTCTTCTTTCGGTTTATGCAAAGCATCCATATTCTGCAGACAGTGCTTAGTGCATTTTTGCTGCAGATTACAATTTTTAGGCCTGTACAGAGCATTACATGGGACACAATTTCATTGAAGAGCAGGTGGCATTGCCAAGCTGGCTTTGTGTTTTACCAGGAATTGGTCACTTTATTGTCCTTGAAACAGGATTTTCAAACCAAGCTCAAGATGGCTGCTGCATTTGCTTACAAAAAGCCACCACACATGACAGTAATTACTGTAAAATGCTTGGAGCTGTTTTGATGTTATAAGCACTATAAAAATAAGATTTCTAAATAGATATTTAAGTGGGTTGATGGTTGTAAACCAATACTATTGTAACCATCACTAGCAATCTGCAACTTCAATAGTTTTTGAAAACATTTTGCAGAATATGTCAAGAGAATGGTATTGAAAAAAACCCAGCACAGATTTGATGAATTTGGCCTGTTCCTGTGCTGTAACTATGATTTCATGATTCTACTGCAATGAGTGACATTTACTGTATTAAACATATGGATGCGATAAAACGACTGCACCTTGCAGTCCAAGCCCACCTTAACAGAAAACTTTGATTTCTATGAAAGGCAAACTGCGGTAGAATAGTGGGTATAATAGGCTGAAAATAGCATTTGTTACTCCCCATTCATCTCGAGAAAAGTGGGACCAACTGGGTTAGAGGTGGGAAAGAAGCTTTCAATAAAGTTCTTCTGAATCCAAAGGCCGCAGACAGCATTAAAGTCTGTTTTTTGGAAGCATAATTACAGTATGTTATACTTTGTGGATATAAGATCTCATTAATGGATATTGGTTTCTTTCAGCGAATGTACATGGTGACTGAGCTGTGTGAGGGTGGAGAACTGAGTGGAATCCTTCAGAGGAAAAAGTTCTTCAATGAGAAGGAGACGAGGCATGTGATTCAGAGCCTTGCGAGTGCAATCGCTTACTTACACAAAAACGGTAAGATTTTGTGTTTACTTTGTGTTTTTGCAAAGTAAGACTCTAATTTTACAATTTCCATTACAACTCTGTAATGGAAAAGTCCGCATTTAATGAGAGATCTCAGTTAAAGTGGTAATTTAACGGGTACGACCACACGTAATAAGAAAATTATTTGGGATTTTTCAGATTTTATGCGTTCAATAAAAATGCTAATGTATCAGCATTGCGAGTTTAATTAACTAATTTTTTTTTCCAAGTGTATATCATTTTAACTCTTCTCAAATCGGATTTCCCATCCCCCAAACCTCCTTCATGATCTGGGCCATGAGCTCCACTGTGGCAGTCTTCGATGTCACTGCAGTGGCATTGAGAGAAAAACCACTATGGGCTCATAAAGGCTTGTGCCAAAGGTTTGGTTGATGTACCAGCAACAAGGGGAACAGGACTGACGGAAAGGAATAAGTTAGAATTTATTAATAAGGCCCCTTAGGATCAGCTAGTGTTCTGGTATTAAGGACTGCATTTTGCAGACTACTTCCTGTCCCTAATATCAAAGTTGTTGTCTCTTTTGTTGTATCACTTTGCTATGGCTTTTCCATCACAGTTATGAAAGCTTTTGTTATTTGAGCGCCGGTGAAATAATTTGAACCTGGTAGGATAGGTTGGAGAAATCGTGCACTGTAGTCTGTATATTGAGGCTAATAGCAAATGCAGCTCAGATGCCACTGACCTTACCTTTCAGGTAGGTTTATTTGGCAATCTGCGCGTAGCTAGATTTTGGGAAAACCATGCTTCACATAAAGAGAATAATGGTATTCAGTAGTTCTGTTCTTAAACTAGAACAGATAATTCAACTTTTTATTTTGCGTTTATCATTTAATTAATTTTTTTATGGATTTGTCTATATTTAAATTACCTGTAATCACAGTGAGAGTGATGATATATCTTTCACTGTATTTAAAAACAAAAATCTTCTCAACACTAGGGGTCAGTGGAGTATTCAGGGATTGCAGTGTAAATCAGTTATACTGTTTGTAGCTTGAGTTCAGCTTTCATTTTTAGCTGTATTTAGTGCTTTTAACTCTACCTGGAGATCTAATGCATTGTAGACTGTGTGTTAATTCTTTCTTTCTGAACAAAGACATTTTGAATTGTTTGAGAGAATAAATAGTATATTTGCTAAACCTTTTTGACTGTGATCTCAGATCCAGACCGTAGTCACTCTAAACACCCTCGGGAAGTACGTTCAAAATCAAGTAGAGAATGCTGTCGCATCATTGGAAAATTTCTGTACTTTGGAGGAAGGAACCTGGAAGAGCCATGGAACAAGTTGTGTCACACACAAAGCAGTGTCATTTTGAATTGCAATGCATGTGTTATGAAACCTGATCAAAAGCTTTCCTCACAGGTTTATATCTGTTATGACTTGACCTTAAATTGATTGTAATCATACTAATTAACAAATTAAAAGCTCTCAACAAATCATGAAAAAAATAACAGTTTCGAGGAATGGTCGGGTGGAACAGATGAGATCACATTGATTAATATTAAAATAATTGAATAGCACACACTTCAAGACATTTTAGAATGATTTAGGTAGATGCTTAAATATAGTGCGAATAAAAGATTCCCATTAAAAGGAAAAATTAAAAGTAGCGTTAGTCAATACAGCAAGGATTTGTGCCATATTACATAAGACCAAAGTATTGGGGAAAAATATAGTGACCAAGCAACGGGTTTCTAAAATAGTATTTGGGGAAATATAAAGTTTTTTCTTAAAAGATTGTTGTTGATCAGAGTCATTTATACCCTCAGATAATCTGTCATCATTAATTAATGGAAAAAGTACCACGCATTCATGCCTTTTTTTAAGTCTTATCAATTTGGGAAACTGCACCCAGGTCACTGCGTAACTCAGTCTTGTCACCAAGCTGTAGGGGCAGCATTTTAGTTGTGCAAGCTTTCTTTGCAGAGTAACTGCAGTGCACACTAGACATGGCAATGTAACCTCATTTTAATTGGACTGTTCTTGCCAATTTTCTCTCCTCCTCCCCAAAGGCATTTGGCTTCTTCTTTTCTTCCCTTCTAACATTGATACTTTTCCTCTGGATGCCTTGACACGTTATCATTACTTATCTTTGAGCCATGACGGTGAGTGTCAACAGACTATTTGACTGTGGGAGATCATATATTCGGTCCATTCCTATCTTCACTTTGGTATCCAACAAGGGGTTACCAGATAGTGATTAAGAAACAAGAACCCTGGCTTATTCTCCCCCCCCCCCCCACTCCCGAAGCCCTGAGCATTGAGGTATTACATTGTGCCATTGCAGCTAAAATCAGCTGATTCAGCACAAACTGGCAATTGAATTTGGGATGTTCCTTGTCAATCTGGCTATGTTTATATATTAAAAACTACTCTGTTGAAGTTACTCTTGTGTGTGCAAACTATTTCTGTCTCCTCCCTCCTGTACCAGAAAGGCAGAAATTAGGTTTATACAATATTGTAACTATTTTCGCCCAGAAAATATACAGTCAATTCACTTTAAATTACATTCTGTGAAGCGCTTTGAGATGTCTCGAAGACGTGATAAGGCGCTATATCAAATGCAAGGATTATTATTATTGAGAACTTGCATTTTTTAAGAATCAGTAGCTTCTCGAATTCCTGTATGTGGATATGCTCAATGTTGTGCTATCTTTCTGCAGATATTGTCCATCGGGATTTGAAACTGGAAAACATCTTGGTTAAGAACAATGAAAGCAGCAGTGAAATTGACATGAAACTGAATATAAGGGTAAATGAAATGTACAGAAATTCTTTTTTTTAAAAAAAAGCATGTGTGTTGTGGGCTTACAGGGGTTGACGGTTTTCTTTACCCTTTTATCACAAGCAATTCCATTCTGGAACAAATTTACAAAGGCTGTTGGCTCACCTGTCAATTTATACAATCAATCCAAATACTACCCTTCAAATCCATGAGGGCAGTGTGAACCTTATACATCCAATAAAATTCTTTATTCTGCATCCTCCACGTATCACTGGAATGGGTCTGGTCTGGCTCGTATTCTGTAGGAAGGAATGGGCTCAAAGTATGTCCTCATTGTACATACTGTGATCTTAGCCAGTGAAAAGTAAGCATATTGGATAGGTGCTCGGAAAGCACTGTTGAAAAGACACAACTTTTGCATAACAGTAAATGTTGCTTCCAGTGGATCAGTTTCCTCCACCTTTCGTATTCACTAACACTGCATTAACGTCAACCATGACCATGCATTTCCCCCAGAACATAAACAACCTTGGAGCCTCCATCTTCAAAGCCTGTAGAAGTCTAAAAGGTAGGTAATGAGTTTTGGATAACCAAACTGTACTAGAATATAAAAGAAGTAAATAATTGCCTTTTTAAAATAAGTTGTTTGTAATAATTAATTAGCCATTTGCTGTTGCATAATGTTATTAAAGCTGCAATGAAACAAACATTTTCATCCTGAAACTGCCCATCGGTTATGTTCTAAGCAACTGATCTGAAATCTAGCTCCTCTCTAATATGTTGGAATGGGTCTTAGAATGCCAAGCTGGGGAATTGGATAGCCCTGAGCTTCAGCTGATATAAAGCATGAAGGTACAGTACTGAACAAATCAGCTCTACCTTTCGAAAGCATGCTCAAACACTGTGGTGACCAGTGTTTTTATACACCTGTTTTCAAGTGTTCATTTCAAGCATATTCTTGAACATCTAAACTGCAATGTTGGCAATAATCCACTGTAGATACAATGACCTCTGCAGATGAAATGTTATATTTGTAGAGGGAGCACAGAGGATGAACAATCAACACTATGAACAAAATTGCAACCATTAATTAAGAATTTTCCTTGCCACAGGTGACTGATTTTGGCTTGTCTGTTCAGAAGGGGGGTGTTGGCAGTGAAAATATGTTGCAGGCTACCTGTGGAACTCCCATGTATATGGGTAAGAAATTTCTATTAATGTACATTTTCCAATGTATTTTGTTCACCACACAACATCGCAATTGATTTCAAATAAATCGTCAATGTTTCGTTCAATTTTTAATTTTGCAAATGTTTTTTTGAGTAATGCCTTTACTATAGAAAACAAAAAATAACTTGGGTTCATAGTGTTTGCGAATGTTGCTTTTCGTTTGTGGTGTTTTGGCTCATACCCTTTACTGAGTGTGAAGATTTGGCCTCAACAGTGCTTTACATGTGCTTAACTGAAGTAGAGGAAGGTTGTACTCTTGCCACAAATGGTGGAACTAGTTGAAATGCTACAAACTGGTAATGTGTGATTTGGTGTTGTGATATATTTTGATATCAATTAAGCCTCCTCTTAATAATCTGGAATTTTGGGGATCTTAGAACCCGTATTGCAGATGAAAACGCCTTTCATTAAAAGTTTACACTTTTTGACAGGCAGAATTCTATGGCAAATTTGGGGCTAAATACAAGACAATCCCATCAAGAAGTACAAATTGGCCTCTACTGTATAAGAGCGAGTTTGAGTGACACCCAATGAAGATAAGACAATTTCCATTGTACTCACTGCCTTTCACCTATTATTTTTATGATTATGAAGCACTTTTGTCACAGACAAAATTGACTTCATTTAAAGAATTGAAATCTGACGTCATTGTTGAAGATGACAGGAAATGAATTACTGGGTGATCACACTACTCTGTATATTACAACCTACACCACCTTTTCAACAGCTCTTGCTACATATTAAACCTCAAATGATAAGCATACATTTGTCAGGTTTTAAATACATTCTTCAGCATAATGCCTTTCAGTGCAGTCTGCTTCTAAATATTAAATGAAGGTTTTGACTAAGAGCTTGGTGAAAAGCGACAGCTGGCATATTCTTGCGGTATTGGCTCAGCTCAGACCCTTGAGCCTCACTGTAATATGTCAGCAAGTAAAGTGCAAGGTCTTCTCTGAAGGTTCAAACTCAAATTGAAGTTGAAAATGTGAGTTATGTTTCTAACTTGGGGGAAAAAAAAAGCCTGAGAAAACTGAAAATCGATAATTTTTGCATAAAAAGTAAAGTTTCTTGGGTCTGCGGCATCACTAGTGAAGCTAATGCATCGGAACCCAGAAGTGATGCAATTCTATAGTACAAGGATGCTGACTCGTGAGGTTGCGAACCTTCACTGTCACCCAATGAGTGATGCTGGATTAGTAAAGATGAGTGTTACTAGTCGACTGCCATTAAATTATAGCCCTGGGAATATCCTATTGAGTCTTTCTGTTTAAATGCTTTGCTATCAAAAGAAAGTCATTTTGTACTACAATTCGACTATCCAATACACCCTATAACACATCCAATATCATAGTGCAGAGTAAGACCAGGGACCATTGGAAACACATTGGCAACATATGAAGCAGGCAGACAGGAAAGGCAAGTAATAATAGTAATTCAAGCAGTAGTACTTCTCCCAAGGTTCTCCTCTGTACTCTAATGATGAATAATATGTTCTGTTGTTTTACTTGGGTGGATTGATTAAGAGAAGGTGATCCTCCTCCTCTTCCACTCGTTTACCTTTTTTAACCGCTTTTGCGTTGGTCACCGTATAAACGTGGCAATTCTCTATATGCCCCTTTTCAATAATGGTAAATCTGCACTTTTAGGATCTCAATTTATTTATCAATTTTTTGCATGACCTAAAATAGGATTAAAAAGAGAGCCATGTCCGTTTAAATAACCATTTGTAGCATCTGCTATTACATGGCTCAGAAAGCTTGTCCTTCCTATCTGCAGGCCGTATGTATTTGATCAGAATTTCAAACCATAGCCCTCTCCTGTTTGAACACTGATCCATGTACCTTTTTATATCACATATTGCATGCTATTGTGCTCAGTCAATTTGAAATCTTTAATTAAGATTAAACAATGAGCATAGTTAATTGCTTTTGCATTATTTATTCCAGCATCTGCTTATGGTGCTACTGGTTCACACGGGAACAGCCTAAAGTCCAAATCACCTCTAATTTTTAAGTAGGTTTGTTTAGAAAGACTTGGTTTTTTTTGTATTATTTATCATACCACTTTCTTTATTTTCAGCTCCTGAAGTTATTAATGCCCACGAGTACACCCAGCAGTGTGATACCTGGAGTATAGGAGTCATCATGTATGCAATGTGAGCAGTCTTCAAAGGGATGGAAATGTTTTCTTTTAAGCGGTGGATGGCTTTTTTTATATTTAGAAAAAATAGTCTTTCTCTTCCCCCTTTACAAATTATTCTCCGTCTGACGGAGGTTGTGGTTCAAGGAAAAAAGATCCAGTGTGTTTAAGAGGAAACTTGATGGAGGCTTCTGTGGGATACAAACAAGGCACAGATTAGTTGGGCCAAACGACCCGTTTCCATGCCAAATCATTCTGTGTACCTCTGAGAGGACAGAAGAGCTGGTCCCAGTACCATCCAACACAGTCATGAGAAAGTGTGTGAGAAAAGCCAGGATGACTCTCCAAAGATAAATATAGTATAATTTTAATAATATCTTTGCATGTGATATTATCACATAGTCGAGACGTCTCAAGCGCTTCACAAGATATATTGTAAGGTGGGTTGACTGTATTTTGTGGGTGAAATGGAGCAGCAGTTTGTGCACAGCAATGCCCAATCATGGAGTGAGTGACTAAATTTATTTGGGGTATTTGTTGGCCAGGACCCTGGGATAAATTCCTTTCTCTTTTCAAAACCAGTAATGCCATGGATCTTTAACGTCCAACCAAACAGGCAGATGGGACCTGGTTTAATGTCTCATCTGAAGGACAGCACCTCCGACAAGCGACCTCTTCCCCCCCTCCCCACCACCCAGCACTGCATTGGAATGTCGCTTTAGACGATATAATTTCAAGTCCGTACGTGGGGCTTGAACCCACAATCTTCTTACTCAGAGGCGAGAGTGCTACCATTGTGCCAGGGTGACACACATTTTGGGCACCCTTCCATTTCCTTCCTCCTTGAAGTGAAATTATCTGCTCAGCACCTTTGCCTTTCCTCATCCCCCACAATTAATGTTGATAATTGAAAAACAACTTGGGTTCATCGGCTAGAAGACAGATTTCCTATATACATGTTTTATGAACTGTGGAACCCGCCTGACCTGATTTTATTATCCGAGTGTATAATAAATTAACAATTGTGCTGAAGTATATCTACTAAAACACAATAAGGAGCTGTTATTATTGTACCTATATGTACATTACTCAAACATCTATGAAACAGTCATAAATTTAACCACAGCTAATCTCTGCCAAGAGTTTATTTCAAACACAATAAAGTTCTAGTAGAAACTGCAACAGCAAACCAACCAGACGTTTTTTCAAAAAAACTTGTGAACAAACAGTTTATAAAGTCAATAGACTTTAATTGGTGGAAAATACAATGCAGTGAAAGTGGCGCAGCACCTAAAGTTTGGTATGAATCATTCGCAGGCAAAGTACGTGATCACTACACTTTGGAGTATTTCATGTGAAGTGCTTCGAGATGTCCTCATGAAGTGAAATGCACTCTTTCAAATGCAAGAATTATTATTATTGTTATCAAAGATTAGAATTACTCTTATGCAGATAAACTGGTCACATCACAGTATAAAAGGGTGCAGGTAAGTGGGAGTGAATATCTAACACTAGCATAGACTCGATGGGCTGAACGGCCTTCCAGTCATTTTTATGTTTTCTCTTTTCCTAAAGGCTTTCTGGAGAGCCCCCATTTATGGCTAACTCAGAAGAAAAACTTGTTGAGTTGATAAACAGAGGGGATCTGCGCTTTCATGATTCAATTTTGAAGGGAGTTAGTGATGGCGGTGAGTTTAATCTTTCAAAAGACTCCAAATTTGTCATGGTGGTAGCCTTAAGCTTTCAAATTGAGACTTAATTTAATGTTTGTTTCAAAACTCTGCCCAATTGTGAGTTTCAATTTAAGGCGAAGAGGTTTTTGGTCCATTCTGATCGTTTTTGACAGACTCGATTTGTTTGGGCAGTAAAAGCTGTGATCTGCTCCTACGAAACTGGCTAAAAACAATTGAGTCTTATCCAGGCTCCTTCCTGTGTCAAATCCAGCAAAGGTCTGGAGGTGATTTGGGGCTTAAAATGTGTAAAGTATTTCTAAAAAGTCATATTTTGTGAAACCCCCAATAGAGCCCTAATGTAACATGGTGGTTGGAGTCCATATAATCCTGACTTATAAAAGCGCTAGGATCCTTGGAAAGCGCTCCTGCAGTCACTGTTCAAGTGGCAGCCAGTTGGTTCGCTTCCTACACTTTACAGTAAATCCTGTGAAGCTCTTTAAGACGTTTCAACAACATGGTAAGACGCTGTAACAAATGCACAGAAAAATGGGTAAATTTAGGGTTGACAAGAATTTTGCATGTTAGCGAATGCATTACTGCTATGATTTTTGCTCACCCATCTCTAAATAACAACAACTTACATTTATATATATTTCCTCCAAATATAATCTGGATTACCAAAAGCCATCTGGTGCAATATTCATCTGAAAATATTGCTCAGTGACACAATAATTTACATTTATATAGCACCTTTCATGTTGGGAGGACATAGTAATGATAGTGAAATGGTCTGATCTTTTGATTGTTTTGTGTAGCAAAGGATGTCCTATCACGTCTTCTAAAGGTGGATCCTGCCCATAGAATCACAGCCAATGAGCTGCTGGATAACCCGTGGGTTCGGGTAAGTGTTATATCCAGTTCCTTCTTATGTTTTTTTTCCTCTTGAAATGGAGTTCCATTTTGATCAGGGGGAAAAAAAAACAAGCAAATCTTCCCCAATCTTTCATTAGAATCATAGAATGCTATAGCACACAAATGGACTGTGTAGCCCATTGAGTGTTAACATGTTATTAACAAACACTGGAAAATATGCACAGCCCCAGACTACTCTAACAATAGAATGCCAGAGTGATATGTTTATCTCTCTGAGTTATAAGACCCTTGCAAAATGTTGTAAGTAATGTACAAACCCAGTCATTGATTAGGTTCAGGTCCTCCACCCCTCCCCCTGCACAGTTTGTGGGTGGTTAAAACCTATGCTACAATCTGATTTGTGACAAACTTTTCAGGAAATATTGTTTTAGGCAGTGAGCTCATTCCGTTGTAAATAGCACCATGTCTTGCCAGAACCTTCAACTCTCCTGTGAACGCTTAATAGCCATTTGTGAGAAACGCTTTTCTAATGTGTCCCTGGACCATAGACAGACGGAGTTCTTCAGTGTAAAAAAACAATGAGAATTTAATTTCTTATCTTGCTGTCTGACCCAAATCTCTAAATACGATCCTTGTATTGCAGGGTGAGACGTCAGCCTTGCAAAGGCCACCAAATGTGCTTGAAATGATGAAACAGTGGAAAGATAACATGGATGGAGATGAAGCAGAGGCAGAACCAAATATTAACAGTACTTCATGCGGTGCTATGTATCAAAACCTGGATAATATTGCTGATGGTACTGGAAAAAGCAATTGCACTTCTGAAGTTAGCACAGAAACTGGTTGTGGCAGCAGCAAAACCTGCATGCCAGCTAAACAGGTAAGACAATTATTTTATACCAAGCGAAAAATTCCACAGCTGCTTGACGGGTACGGTATTAGAATGAACTGCCATTGCCAGGCACACTGTAGCTTCAGTAATGTGCCGTGGATCATGTCCTACACACACAAATCTGTAGAATGCTAAGGGATGTTGGTATCCATGACCACAAGCAGCAAATGATGAGGAAACGAGTATCAAATATAGATTCTGTTTTGTTAATTCTTAACACAAAAACAAAAATTCCCAAGGTAGATCATTAGATGAAAAATTGTCTTGTGATATGCCAGGCACTGATGTAAGAAGCCATATGTGACTGGAGTGTTAAATTGCTAATCATTTCGTTTTTAAAATCTAATTTTTCAGAGGAATAAGAAGAACGCAATCGTGGGTTTGTCAGTCGATGGCCCGCGTTTGATGAAGAAACCGAACAAAATCAGCAGCAACAATGTGAGTTCCAACAAAATAGTGCATTGTGACCCCCGAGTCCTCCGCTCCACCATAGGGGTCCATGTCTTCAGCCACTGCGCCCCAAAACTTTGGAACTCCCTCCCTCAACACCTACGCCTCGACCCCTCCTTCACCATCTTCAGGTTACGACTGAGACCTTCCTCTTTGACCGCGCCTACGGTCACCTTCCCCCTCCCACTGGCTTGGCCTTGTGTTCCGCAATTGTTAAGCGCTCTGAGACGCCCCCCGGTGTGGAGGACGCTATATAAATGCAAGTTGTTTTTGTTATTGTTGCCTTGAAATGAAATTCTAAATTGTAACTAAAAAAAATAATGGTTCTAATGCTGGGACTGTGTAGGTCTGTGAGGGAAAGCGAACTGGGACTGTGCAGGATTGGCAATGTGAGGGAGAGAGGACTTGATTATATAGTGCCCTCCACATAAAATAATGCTTCAAACTGTTTGATAATTATATTCAAAAGTGGTGGACATGGAGTAGGGAAATCGACTTGAATTTTAAGTACTGCCTTTTTCCCACTATGGAGAGATTGTGAAATTCAAACTTTGCTTAGATTTTGGAACAATCTTATGATTAAGATTTCTTGTGTTTTTGATTGACTTCAGCTTCCCGGAAGCAGCAAGATTTCCCCCAAACTAAAAGTGAATCGATCGCCATTGCAAGATAAGCGAGAATGGTCACCAACACATCTAGCTCCTTCAATCAGACCGAGTTCTATCTCTGCTAAGCCAGAGGTACGTAGACCCCTAACCCCAAACGCTAATGCCTCTGGATATAAAAACGCAAATAAGTCAACTGCCACTTCCAAATCCAAAAAGAGCACATAGGATAAAGAATTTTAACGGCGAAACCACTATACTGCAAAATGATGCCAAATGCAATACTTCATTGAAAAAGAACCCACGGATTGCACATTGTTACAGGGTGATCGTGGGCTTTCCTCTTTGGAACTTACCAGTGTGAATACTTGTGGTTGTGTTTGCACTTTGGATTCTACATTGTATACTGTTGAAACAAGGAAACTGTTTTCACTGCGTAGTTTTCTTTTTAGTGCGTGTTGATATTCTATAGACCACAGAGTCACTGTATTTCTTAAAGAAGCATAAGCCTTATTTTTTGATTTCAGAAATAATTTGCTGAAGATATCGCTTTTTGCTGCTGTGAATGAATTTGATATTTGCGCATTTGATTCACCCTCACTGGTTTACTTGTAGAGTTGCTCCAGACAGACAAAAGATTCAAAATGCAAATAAACCAACAAATATTCTGCAGTGAGGGTTGGGATATACATATTTTCTCAAACACGTAGTTGACTAGCTCTGAGGATGTTTACCTGGCACTCAAAGAGCTGCCTACACATTCACCACCAACATTAAGTCATGTTTAATCTATTAAAGCTGAATCAATTGCAGTGTTATTTGCAATGAGTAGAAAATTGAGCGATTTTATACTGACCTTTGCTGAGGATTAATCGAAAAATATAAAGTATTTTGGATAATAGCAACCACTTGTTAACACAAGTACTGTATTAATACAAAATGCCTATTACATGGCTAAATATAATTAGTTTGTGGCTATCTGAGTTTGCACATAATGAATTTCTGTTTTGTTTGAATATATTGAGGTGTTTTAAGATGGACTGTAGCTTGATACCATGCTGAAGGAATCCCAGAATATAGTAACTTCCCCATATCCATTCAAGGATAACTCTCCAAGTCATTTTCTGAGAGGAACAATTTCTGTAGAACTCCCAGAGCATTGAAATCCCGATATGTTGTCCAGTGTTGAGAACATTACCACCACAGAAAAGTTTGAAATTATGTATCTTTTCTTTATACTCTTGGTTCCAGTCCTGATTGGGAGAGACAGATCAATCTTCCTTCTCTTAACATTTAATTGAGAAACTTTTTTTCTAATTTAATACATCAAATTGTACTGTTTTGATTGTAAATTGCACGTAACTGCTGGTATGTTCCAGAATACCATGCTTTGTATTAACATTTTGATGGATGCTGGGCCTGAGACTTCAAAACATGAACTACATCATAAAACATGACAATCTTTATGTAATCTATTAGCATTTGAATACCTAAGCAACTTCATACTGCCGTATTGCTGCCTTTCATCTAACTCCAGTTCTAATGAATCTCTGTTGCGTTCACATTTTTATGCAGCCAATGGGTCTGATCTCATTTGATTGAGCTCTCAATGCAAACACAGTGCGACACACTGACCCAGCACAGAGCAACAGTAGTAAAACTCAAACTTCAAATGTTACCCACCATTGATTCTGCTGAAATGGAAGAGTTGGCCCAGCATAAACAGTTGACCACTGAATGAATGAAATACACCTTACTTTCTGCCACTGAATGCCACACAGAAGTAAATCACTATGATTCACCAGTGGCTGGAGTGTCCAGATAGGACATGCAAAAGTGCTATTGGAAATATGCCCAATGCAGCAAACAGAGGTTATTTATGAATTCCTATGTAATAGACTTACATATGGGCATGCATTTCATTCGAAAACAGTTGCAGAATAAAATAGTGTGGAGCAAAATGTTGAGTGTTACAAATTTTGCTTGAAAAAAACATTTGAAACTGTCAGTTACGTAAAACAACATGTTCACTGATGATACCTTTTAATAGCTGAGATGTGTAATTTCTCAAGCACGTGTAAATATTTTGTATGTAATGGCATTGTAATGGTTCTTAAAACACAGTTTTTCAAGGATTTGTTTATTTGTTCTCTTTTACTGATTAACTATAAGAAACATGATATGCAGAAGGAATTTTACTCGCAGTGGATTGAACATGTCTGTGTGCTTTTTTCATGTAATTGATGCCCTGCTTGGCATTAAAACACATTTTGTTCTTCAGAATTCCTGAACTTTGCTCTTCTGTTACCTGTTTCAGCAGTGAAAAAGAAAAGTGTTAAAAGTGCATATGCATGTTCAGCTCATTTATTACTAATGTCCTTTCCTGTTTCCCATAGCTAGCTGGAATGATTAGAGTGTGTCTGTCGTCTTCAGATAAAGATAAAAATGAGAGAGATAAAATGCATAAAAACGGGCAATTAACCTGAGATCCAAATTGAACTAACTTTGAAGGGGGAGGTAAAACATTTTTGATTATGGTTATGTCTGAATATGGAATATGTTAGTTAACCTTGCTCAAGGCTCCAACTCAGGAGATCCTGAAATTCAGTGGCATTATAGCACTTGGCTGTGAATTTGATTTGGTGACAAATGCTTAAATTATTTGCAGACTAATAAAATCATAAAATTAGATCATTGTTGCTTTATTAGAATTCCACACCTTAAAAAAAGAAATAGGTAATAAAGATGCCTTGCAAGTACATGAAGCAAAATGAGGGTTAAAACGAAGGAAGAGAAATTCCACCTGGGCTAGATTTATTTCTAACTGTGTAGCTGTTTAGAACATCAGAATTTCGCAAATTGTTGAATTCAACCTTAACTTTGAAGATGTTTTTGTGTAGTTTTAAAAACAATTTACAGAAAACTGACTTCGAATTTAAGGCTGTATTTAAGAATTTATCAAATTCCAGATGCTATGAAACACTAAGAAATATAGTAAAGCTCGAAGCCGTGTGAAATTTCTCCCTTTAGATCGGTACTTAGTGTGAATTTAAGAAAAGCTGTTGTAAAAGACCAGCAGATTATAAAGCTGTTAAATGGATTTCTCACATTAGTTTTTTTTGCAAATATTGTGGCCTAGTTGTTTTAGTATTGGAATCTTCAGCATCACTAGATGTCATTATAAAGAATATCAGAAGAATTCAATCTCTAGAAGATTCTCCAACCGGAAGGGATAAATCCTTGGGTGCTGAAAGAAACAGTGTCTGGTTAATTTTTTTTAGAAATGTAATAAACACGAGCAGACTCTGAGTATTTGGAGGTTAGCTGATGTTATTCATACTGAATAATAATACGTGCATTTGATAATAATACTTTCACATTGTTGAAACATTCAAAGTCCTTTACAGGAATTATTGTAAAGTCTATCCATTTGTAGACAAACACAGCAGCCAATTTACCCACAGCAATGTCCCACAAACACCCAAGACCAATTTTACTTTGGAATTGTTGGTCATGATGCTGGGAGGAACTCTGAGTAAATGCCTAAAAAAAATATTCTCATTTCACAATATTTTCTTATAATTAACTTATTGTTTTATCTGGATGCAATTATTAGAATTGATCGTTGTTGGTAAACACAATTCTACATCTATTTGCTGTAACTTGAACAACAGATATTGGCTAGTTATTACCAAATTGTAAGCAACCTGTTCCCAGGTCCCAAGTCCACTGAAATGCTTTGAGTTGTTTTGATGCCATGAGAAGGTGCTATGTCAAATGCAAGGATTATTATTATTAATAAGGGAAACCTAATGGTAATAACCTGTAACACACCTCCATATTGTGTAAACACTGTCTTAGCGTTGCAGCTCATGGGGGTCCAGTTGTATTATGTGGCTTGAAGCAAGCTTTTGATTTACGAAAGTGGCAAGGCTAGAAAAATGTATGTAACTGAACATAAGCTGTAATGTGCTATCACAAAAAGGCTCCGGCAACACAGTGTTGAGGCACAAATTTGCCCACAGACTGGTTTGTACTAATTAACAACTCTTTTGTGAAGTAACCGAATTCCATTTCCAGGGATGATGTTCAGTATCTGAGACCACTGTTGATAATCTCATTAACTCCTCCTCACCGCCTCTTCTCTAGTTGCGATAGCAATGAACAGTGCAATCAATCAACTAAGAGAATACAACCTTGAAACGTCATTGTTGACATCTGAACCTCACAAACTCTACAGAATTTAGAGCCAAACTCCTGATCCCATTTAAGAGCGGGTTTGTGCTGCATGTATAATTGCTGCTTTTACTTTCGGCATGGTCAGTGATTTCATCTTTAAAAACGTATAACAATGCTACAATTGAATCCAGGTATGAAGCCACATGTATCGTACAGAGGTGGAATTTGTATTTGTTCTTTGCAACTCTGTGGGCAGCTCCGATTTAAATAAAATGTGACATTACAGAAAATCATTCTTGCCCTCTTCCTGGCCACTGCAAATTACAAAGATTTACATAGAGTGGCACGGCATGGAAACAGGCTGTTGCTTAAATAGATTGGGAGCCAGCTTTGCCAAACAGCTGTAAATGGGATCCTAGCTGCATTTTAACTTTGACTCTTCACTCTCGTCTCTCTTTATTCTTTGCTACTTAAACCAATCTCCAGTGGAAGCACTAAGATGTGGCACCTTAACCATTTTCTTAGGGCTTCGGGCCTGGATGCAGACTTTTTAACGAGCTCACTTTAGCTGCTCACTGTCACTGGATTAAGTGGAGGTGGGAAGCAAGTTTCCTTTTATATTTTATTTACTGTCTCACTGGAATTTAATTTCCCTTACTACTGCCTCACCCGCTTTTTATTTTATTTCATTTTTTCCTCTCATTAACACCATTCCACAATCTGCTAATGGGCCATCAAACCTCACTGCAGTCAACCATTTCTGGAACCTGTCCCATTCTATGGGCTTTTCTGGCTACCATTTTTGTTGTGATGTAGATCTACATCTGAAAGGGTGCATCTGGCAAATAAATGATAGCTGAAAAGTGTTTCCCAAATTTCTCAGTGTACAAATGAGAGCTTAAACCATGTGACCAAAACTCAACAGTTTCGAACAAATTCTATGGCAGCACTTTTTTTGCAGTTGTTTGACAAGATACAGACTTTAAGCATTTTTCAGTTTTCTTTCCATTACCTCAAAAGTGGAAATTTCCTCTTCTAAAGAAAAAAAATGGTCACTTCTCATGTTCTAAACATGAGAATCCATAGCGATCTATATCTTGGGACATCCTTCCGACATGAAAGGTGCTCTACAAATGTAATTGTTGTTGTTTTCAAGACACAAAAAGTTAGTGAGAGATTGGACCGTTCAGCGTGGATTGCAAATCCTATCAGTTGTAGACGAGCACCCCGAAAGGGCTCGGGGTCATCAGGTAAAATAGGGGTACTGAGTCGACATAAAACCTGTGCGCGTCTAAAAACATTGTCGGGGCTTAAATTCATCGGGACACTCCGAAAACTTCTCAATTTCCCATATAGCCTGTCCGCTCCGGAACGCTATAGACATACGGAGGCTTTCGGGTAGCTTTATGTAGTGCTTTACATTGTTTTTCAAATGTTTTATGTAGTGCTTTACATTGTTTTTCAAATGTTGTTTGAATTATCCATTGACCTTCTTTGCAGAGATGTAGAATGCACCAGAGAGATAGTAGAAAATGCAATTATATAGATACATTTTTCTTGAGTTATTTAAGATGCACAGCTCTGCAGCCACATTCAGCGATGTCAGATTTGATTCTGTTTTGACCTTTCCTTTACCAGGATATCTTTTGAGTTAAGAAGGACGTGAGTTTACCGAATGACTGCAAGTTATATTGTGTCATGATGTGCATAATTAAATTGTGAGGGCTGATGTGCTTTAGCCCATGTGCAAGAGATAATTTCACCTCTGTTCCAAGCAACACTGGTGAACAATCTGACACACCTTATTATGAACCCTGTTCAGACTACAATTAAATTACTTCAGTAAAAGATAATGTAATATACACACTCCAGCAGAAGTCTGTAATTGCAGGCATTCCTACTGCAAACAAATTACTGAGCTGAAATAGTGCAGATTGTCAGGCAAGTCTAAACCTTGGTAACTTTGTAATTTTGACTGCTTTTTTTAATGAGCTTCTCTGCTAGCCTTTGCATTCTTGAAATATCCTAGGATGGAAGTGATTTTCTTGCGAATGGCTTTTCCCTTCACTCCCCTCAACATCCTTTCTCTTGCCGCTCCCAGCTCTACGATGCACATAACTGACCCCATCACAGATACAAACCTTTTTGCAGACCTTCCTCCAGTTGAATAGGGAAATGAACAGGTTACACTGTCATTTGCTGCAGTTTGGACGAGCAGGTCACTGCAGGAAAACCTTAAAATAAAGTCTCTCCAGAGAATAGCAAGCCCGTACAGATGACATCCATTCTTAATTAATAATTGCAATCAGGTCCTCTGATATGCCTGTTCAGGTTGACATTAAAAAGTGCTGTGGCCTATTCAAAAAGAGAAGGGCCTTGCTCCCAGTGTCCAAGCCAATAATTGCCTCAAATAAAACGATTCATTTACTTCATGGTTGTTTGTGGAACATTGCTGTGCGCAAATTGGCTCCCAAGTTTGCCTCCAACTGCACAGTGATTCCACTTGATGGAAAATTAGACATTGTGATACGATAAGATGCTGTATCAAAGGATTATTGTTATCCTGTGAGTTTTATATTTTTATTTTTGAATCGTATTCCTGCGTATCCATTATGTTGTGATTCCTGAAACTTTTTTGCAACTTTTTTTTGCAACTTGTGCTTTATGTAACTTCAAGTCATATTACCCCAAAAGCATCTTGAATGATGGCTATTATATGAAGAATGTATGTCACATTTTTATTTGAAGTGCTGCCATACACTTCAAAGGGTGTTGTTCAGTGCTATCAATACGTCTGTAACATGTGTTGATAATAATTGAAGTGAATACTTGCATAGCAATAGCTATTTGTCTGCTCTTCTTTTTCTCTATGACCAGTGGAAAAGCTTTGTGTAGGTGTAATTGAATCTTAGGAAGATTATATTAAATTATATGAGATGATGGATATTAAGGTAGTAAATGATCTACAGTGAACATGTATTATGTTGGCCATCAAAACGGAACTGTGTCTCATTGACTAAATGCTTTTGTATCTAAGTAACTAATCAGAGCCTACGGTAAAAGCCACTTGAAACAATGGATGACATTTTCAAAGTGAGTACCAT